TTCAGCTCCTCTTCTTCTAGTTTTCACGCTCTTATTTTCTAGCTCAACATCTGAAACAGCCTCTTCTTCTTCCTCATCATCATCGTCCTTGACATAATCAGTATCAAATGCTTTTCCCATCTTATCCTTCTTGGCTGACTTTTCTGATGTTCCTACACCACGTGGGAATTCTACAATTTGTTTCATCACCTTGGAAAGCTTTTTATGTTTTCTGCTCCTTTCTTCATCGTCATCAACATCTTCTTCCACAGCCACAACTTTAGCCATTTTCATCCTTCTGAGAAACTGAATTTCTTCGTCATCATCATCAATACTATCGAGTTCCTCCTCATCCAGAACACGTCGTTTAGAAATCCGATTGCTCTTACGAATCGGATTTGTATTTGTTTTGCTAACTCGTGTATCATTACATGAATCTGCTTTGCTTGCAGTATCCCACGGTGTCCCTCTTTCTTTAGTGGATCTCTCGTTTGAAATCTCCTGTAAGTCAGTGGTCACAGTATACAACAAGAAGTTAGAACTGTAGTAGTCCGTAGTCGAAATTCATCAGAAAGACTGAAAATCTCAGGCAATCACCAGCGCATACTCCATTGAGAAATTGAGAAACATTTAGCATTTAAGAAAGGATTTACTACCTGGTTAGTTTGCCCAATCCCCAAGACATCATCTGATGCATGGGACGACTTTGTCGAACACAACCCAATATCAGAAGCACCATCAGATGCAGTTACTACATTTATAGTTTTTGACGAACCACCGAGTTTGAGTTTAACCTTCTTGATGGTATGCTCATCAAAACCAGCTCGACGTTCTGTTGTGTCAATGGAGTCTTTTCTTTTACAAGGGACAAGAAACCCTTCAGTAGATGCAGTGCTGTGGCCTCCACCTTGCCTTACTTGGTTACTTCCTTGAAATGAACCATTCGTTGAACCTTCATCTGACTCCACTGCTTCCCTCTCTTCTATCTTATTCTCATTCTACAACCACAAAAGCCAATTTCTACATATATCAGGTAAAACAAGTCAAGCACATAATAGTAGTAGACACATAAAGATCAAATGTTGATCCACAAGTGTTATTGATATGGATATATACATTAAGGCAGAAACTTTTACGGCAGTAGAGTAAAAGTGACTATTCTACATCAATACTAAAGAAGTATGAAGCCGATCAATACTTAGCCGGAAAACTATTATCCAAACACAAAGCCAATTTCGACATCAGTTAACACAATTCACGCATAGAACAGTAGTAGACATATAAAGATCCAATCCAATGTATGAAGGGACCAGAAAGTTCACAATGATCCAAAGTGTTATTGATTTTGATATATAGAATAAAGGCAGAAACTTTAACAGCCGCAAAGTAAAAGTGATTATCCTACATAGAATACTAAAGAAGTATGAAGGCGATACCTACCGAGAAAACTATGCTAACATAAGCAAAAGAGATAATATTGTACAACAAGAATGAAGTTTTCATTGCAAAGATTGAAATGTTTTTGCTTTCTTACATTGTCAGCGATTGGTGTCGATGGCAATGACGAAGAATCCTGTAACTGTCGCTCATTCCAAGGCCGACGCAATGTGGTGCTTCTCTTCTTCTTTGTTGCACTGTTAGTATTACTGAATCCAATACCTCCAAGACTTTCCATAATTGAACTTTCTTGACTCAAAAATCAAAGCTCCACATACTTAAGTCCCTAAGATATATTACTCAGTATCAGATGATGAAATCAGACTATCCAAGACAACAAAATAAGACAAGGGCTTAGCTAAATTTGTTATCTATTCAAGTTCATACACTAAGAAACAAGCATGTAGAGGATTAGTTACAAGAATCTGAAATCTAAGAAGTTGTTACCTAGTTTATTCAATTCGATGAAAACAATTGAACAAGAAAGATAAAAGCTAAGAACTTGAATTAAGAAGTTGATTAAACCAATTATATACCTGATTTAGATTCAAAGGATCAAACTTTGAGTGACGTGTTGTAATTGGAGTTGATGAAGAAGCTGTGGAACTTCACCGTCAAGTCTTCTTCACTCTTGTGCGATCCTCTGAAGCCAAAGAAACAAAAGGGCGTAGGTTAGAGTAATCTACGCCTACTTGGTTAACGTTAGTGTTTACCGACCGCTTAACAGGTATACGTATATATCGATCTACTGGGCCTAATGTTTTGCTTCTTTTGTCATAAATCGGCCCATTAGAACAGTACAGTCTCCTCACATCTCAAGTGGTCTTTAAAGTCCCAAAAGGATATTTTTTCTGTTGCTAACAAAATATATTATACAAGTTGAAAAACTTGAGAGGTAGTTGTAAACTTGAGAGAGAAAAAAGAGAGAGGTAGTGGTAACATAACAAGTTAACAACTATACAAGCAATATATGTTTTGGCTTTTTGTATTTGTTATTTAAACATTATGGATTGAAATTTGAAAGTATGTTATTTGCAAATGAAAATTTTAAAAAAATTTAAACGTAATGAGTTCATATGAAGTAATTTTACAAAGTAGAATTGCCAATTTGTTACACACATGTCATCTAAGAACTAAGATTAACGATGACTCTAAAATTACGCACAAAATTGAGATTTGGACTATGTAGTTTGAATTCTTAAAGTGTTTGTGTAGAAATTAGCACTAGACGTTAGTACAAGTCGGAAAAAAAAAACAACACTTCACAGATTGTTGGGGTCGAAAAATGTCTTTTTTCCAGTTACGACACGTAAAAAAAAAAAATATATAAAAACAATGTTAGTTCTCTAAAATATTTTGTCAATTTTTAACTTCCTTTAATTTTTAAAAGAATCTGATTTTTTTTTCTTGTTTCAAGATATTGATTATTTTCATATAAAAAAAGCCTTATATTGATTATCAAAATCCAATGGATATAATATCACAATAATTTCTTCAATTATTAAATCTGATATTGTTCATGAAAATTTTGGAGAAAGAAACAAACAGCAAATTGATCAAATATGATTCATTATAATGACAATGATGATCACCATTATCGTATATTACTAATTCTTCTTATCATTTGAGAACGCCGATTGAGCTGAGGCAACCTTCGGATCCATATTCATCAATTCTTTCAGAAATATTATAGATTCACACAAGATGTTTGGATCTTCAATTTTCTCCACTTTTTTGGTTTCAATAGGGATATCGTATTCTTCAATGTACTCTATCAGCTTCTTCTTCAACTCCTAATTAAATTCACATAAAATTAATTAATGAATTGTAATCTATGTAAAATATATTCATAATCTATAATAAAACAAAATGCCCTAAAAGACCATAAACCCTACAATTACATAATAGTTGGAATGGATTCCTAAACCATTTAGAAACTCTTCCTAATCTTTTTATGAGCCGTTTTTCTACACCTAGTTTTGGTTGTATTTTCAGAGTTTTAAATGTTTGTGTTGTAATTCTAGAAAACATAACAAAAAATACAGTATGATATTTTTATTTTATTTGCCAAGAATACAAAATAACCAATATCACCTTCTTACGCTCTTTTTCTTTTTTCGATGTTACCATCACATGATCAAGTCCGGCTTCTATCTCACAAATCCTAGTTTTCTCCTCCATCGTTATTATGCGATCTTCTTTTTCATCCATTGATTTAATTGTTAGATCGGAATCGGCTTTGGGCAGTTCCATGTTTAGATCGAAAGCGGCTTCAGGCGGTACCATATTTAGATCAAAATCGGCTTCAGGATGCATCACCCTCTTTCCACGTTCCATTTCTCGATTGTTATTATTTTGTATTGTAAGAAGAGCTCAACTGAATTTTGTATTATAAAAACAGATTTTTGGTAAATTTTAAGCTTTTGAATGAATTAATAATTTACCCTAAAAAAAGTTGTAGGTATTAATGTCATTACGTGTATCGTTTATCACAGTAAATTCTTTGATTTTAACCCTATTTTGGCATATGTATAAATGCACGTGAATATGGATATAAGAAATTAAATATAAATTTTTTGTAATTTTTTGATCAAAGATGATAACATTATAATAATAGCAGAAATTAATTTTAGAAAAATTATACATTTTTTAAATAAACACATGGCTATCAGAATTTTAATCTAAATATTTATTGGAATTTTAATATAACTATAAAATTTCACTTAATTATTGTTTTTCTTTTTAAAACACATAAAACATGGGATTTTAAGAAATACTAGTTAAGTTCACAAGTTCAATTGATTCAAAAACTATACACCGTATGAGTCTTAATAAATCTTGTAACTCTTGAAAAGTTATTTGACTAGAGGAGAATAACCTGATGGATTGGCCTTTTACTTTGCATTAGAATTTGGATTCAGTTAGTAAATGAATAGTGCATATCACGAAATGGAGTTGTTAATATTTTACTTGTTAAGAATTTACAGAAATAATTTTGATTAATAAAATCTTGAGAGAGAAGGTTTCAATAGATGATTTATTAAATTATGAAATTGTGTGCAAAAATTTTAAACATCACTTAAATGAGAAAAGCGAGAAACAAGACCAAAAAACGATAGAGAACGATCAACAATGAACAAAGGATTATGGATTACTTGCCATTACTTGATTTTTGAAGACTTAAGAACACAATAAATTTTAACCAAAAAACTAAAAAAAAAAACTAAAAATATGAGTTCACAAGATTTGCAAAATGGGACCTCATATGAGGATATAGAAACCGTCGAAATTGTCAGGTTGTTGAAGTCGAAATGAAATCGACGAAGATACAGTTACAAAGAGTCGAAAACAAATTAGATCTCGCCCAGATTTGAGAATTGACTCGAGTTGATGAAACTTTAAAAGCCGCCCAACCAATACAACAAACACTTAACTGATTGTGGATGGTGGTGGGACGAATCGAGATAAAAAGCCATGAAAATCTCCGACAAAAACAAGAGTAAGAAAACGAGGTAAAATCACAAACAATAGCAAACCCGATTTCAAGCCAAAATCCAACAAGCATAACAAACTGATCTTGTCAACAAGACATGGCGAATTTAATAACAGAGATATGGCTGGAAGGACCGTAGCCAAAACATCTCCATATCCGAACCCAATGAAGAAAGCCAACAAATCAAATTGGCCGGATGAGGAACAAAACCACCGAATATCTAAAACAACGAAGACTAACCATAGCAGAATCAACGCCGGAGCTATGAAAGCATACGGCTGTCGATAAGAAGAAAAAAAAGACAATAACTGAAATTGGAAGAGGAAGAATAGATGAAACCTCCAAAGAAGGGAAAACATGTGCTGTGCCATCTAACAACATCAAACGAAGAGTTCTAAGATTCAACCACCATGTTTAATAGTAAACCAACTACAGTACAAAGTTTTTAACAACATCACATAAAATAAAAACGCTTCCTTGAAAGATCTCCAGACATTATGTGGTTGCTTGGCTTCTTACCAGGAGCCTTCAGCACCAGCAGTTGGGTTGTGGAATGACGAGAATTCCCAGAATGTCTTCAATGAGTATGGCTGTGAGACAGTCACGCCTTCTTCCGTAATCTTCGCTATCTGCACAGTTTCCATGTTTTCCGTTATTACAATCCATAAGAAAAAGATCATCCAACCTAAATGAAGATTATGTTCTTGTTCATGAGATAATATAACGGTAAACAAAACTTGTTATTAGAGACAAACCTGAAGCTTGTTAATAGCGGATCTGTCACGGTAAAGAAGCACACGCATACATTTCTCAAGGAGCTTGACACCGTCTTCAAAACTCAGGTCCGCATGCCACTCATCACGAAGAATTGGCCTAGCGAGGTGGTTTCCAAATCCAGTGGCGACATGATCGTCCTCAAAACTAACACCAATCATTGACACCTAGAAAGAAGCAAATGGATCCAAATCAATAGTTAAGTTCATAAGAAAATTATATATGTGATTGGATAGTTTGAGACGTACCATTCCAAGGTAACTCTTCCCATTTTTGACGCCTCCAAGGACAAGAGTGTTCCACAGAGGGTTAAACTTGTTGCGACGGTTGTACATCACACGGGTCAGATAGTTGTGAATCTCTTTTGGCCCCAAAGAATTACCATCATCCCACATGTTATCATTCAGGCTGTGTAAAACCAAGGGCTTGTGAGGCTTGAGAATTGACAAGGAAAGATTAAAATAAAAACACTGAACCAAACGGATTCTTACGTGAGCTCATCAAGATAACGCAGAATCTCCTGAAAGTCACTGATTTCTCCGCTGGCACCAAGAAGAGAATGTTTACCAATAGCCTTCACTCTCTCAATGTTCTTGTATCTTAAGGTTGATCCATATGAACCTGTATATATGCAAAAGTTTGAAAGTGAGTTGAAGCCACAATATCATCATTCCTCGGGGGCAGAAATTCACAGGAACCCAGGATCACACATTTAGAACTTAAGAAATGATACAAGCTACATTAATATACCATCAAACTCATTAATCGTACAGACAAATGACAGTTCTTACACATTGTGAGTTCGTGTTAAAATATGAGAAATCAAACTATTTCAATAAATATAGCTAAGTAGTGGTTGATGGTTATAACGTTTATTCTCAGTTGTCATCTCTTGACCTAATTAACAATGGATAGCACAGAGGAAACTGAAACATTCAAAGACTTTTCAACATAATTCGCTGGTTATGTCATAAAAGAAGCCTAAGATCTTAGTTTACCTTAAATCTTAAAATAATAGAGAGAAGAAGTAGGAACAACCAAAGAACTGGAACAATATATATTGTAAATATTATGTCGCTAGGAAAACAAACGCAAGGGGAATGTGAAACTAATCTCACAAAAGAAAAGCAGTTGTATGTTTAGCTAGAAATACATATGATTATCAATCAAGCAGCTAATAGATAGAACAAAACCTTTTCTGCATAATAGTGTTTGAACCTAATTCCTTGACTCATCTAAAACGATGCAAAAATCAAATTTGACCAAAAGAAACTAACCGTGCTTAAAAATGTCGCAGAAAAGACACTAAAGAAATGAAATTTGAAGGATTCATGCGCATTTGTTATGATCTCTCACAGAAAAAAGAATCAGATTTAAGCAAACAAATACCCAGAGAGGTAAAGCAAACGATGCAAGCAATCAAGCTCATAACAGATGGAAAATCTAAACATACATTGCAAAAACTTGGGCATACTGCTAAGAAAACATGAAACCTAGACTAAATTCAATTACTTCACCAAATAAGCAAGGGATTAAAGAGCTAATGACCCACAAACACAGTGAAATGCAACAATGAACGAGCTGATACTAAGAGAAGAAACATACCTCCCATATCAGAAGCCATCAAAACCCCATCTTTGTACTTGATTGCAACAATTGAAGTTCCAGTAACATATGGGTACCTACCAAAAATTCCAAAACAAAACCCTAACAATTCAAAATCGAATCCCAAATTTTCTCAAAATCGAAAACCCTACATAAGCATAATAGAAAGAGATTTATACAGAGTTCTTTGTGATTCTTCTTCTGCGATCTTCACAGAATCTCCGTTATCAATCGGAACAGTGAACTGCTCAGACGAAGAACAAAAAAGGGACAAAATCAAATTGAGGAAACGAAATCAAACCCAGAAGAATCAAAAGCATACATAGTAATAAGAACTGAAGATTTGAGATTGATCTGACTTACAGTCATCTTCTCGGAAAAATTCGTAGTAAGCTTTAGGTTCTTCTTCTTCTTCAAGATCTGATGTTTTTGGTTTTGTGTATCTCACTAAAGAGACCTCTGCGATTTCCTTTTGCTCAAGAAACATAGTGATTCGGGTCTGATCCGGTCTTTACCGGTTTAACCTGGTAATTGACCCGACCGGACTGATCTCACACTAATATCAATTTTATCGGTTTAATGCCGGTTATAGACCTGACCCGACCTGACTCACTCAAATATCAATTTTATCGGTTTACCCCGGTTACAGACCTGACCCAAACACACCTTTTTTTTTTTTTGGACAAAGACCCGAACACACTCAAATATCAATATTTACCGTTTTATCTCGGTTTTGGATCTGACCCGACCTGACTGAATTCACTCTAATATCAATCTTATCGGTTTAATCTGGTTATATACCTGACCCGACCTGACTCAAACTCCTACAAGTATCAATTTTATCGGTTTATCTCGGTTATAAACCTGACCCGAACTCACACAAATATCAATTTTTATCGGTTTATCCCGGTTAAGATCTGATCCCAACTCACTCATAAATCAATTTCACCGGTTTATCTCGGTTCTAGATCTGAATTCACCCAATATTATCGATTTGACCAGGTTATGAACATGACCCGACCCAAATTCACCCAAATATCAAAAAGCCCAAGTCCAATAACATTCAAAATCGAACTCTCAGACTCTCTCTCAGTCTTCTTCTAGAATCGTCTTCGCTCATTCTCGTCGACTGTTTTTCTCGCCGGAGAATCTCTCAGTATGTCTAGGTCACCGAACAAACACGGCCGCGATCAAACTCAGGTAACCATTTTTACTCGATTCTTCTTTCTTACATGAATCGCCTCTAGCTAAAATCTCTGTTTACTCGAGAATTGAGAAGAACAAATTCGAAACGATTCGTGCTTAGTTATCTAAGATTTCATGGAGATTATTAGTAAAATTGATTATGTTTATAGATTATGAACGAATTAGATGTTTACTTGCATCGTTTGGATTCGAATGTTTCCAGGGATTTTTGAATGACTTGCAGGATTGGGAACTTTCATTGAAGGATAAGGACAAGAAAATCAAGCAGCAACGCGCTAATTCATCGATTCCGGTTCATTCTTCTACTTTCATTTGTAAACTTGATGCTTTGTTTTTGTATCCCTTGTTGTTAAAACTTGTTTTGAACTTTCAGAGTAGTGAGAAATTCAGACCAAGTGGTTCAGGGCAATATGATTTTGTAAAAAAAAATTATGGTTCCATTAGTGATTTGTCGAGTAGTTTGATCGGAGAAAGTCTCTTGGATTCTAATTCAGAGAAGGAGCAGGTACTTTTCTTCTTCAAGCTTTGTTTTTGTTATATGATATTCCGTCGATGGTATTGTCATAATGGATCTTACTCTAAATACAGGGAAATGAATTTTTCAAGCAGAAGAAGTTTAATGAGGCGATTGATTGTTACTCTCGAAGCATTGCTTTATCGCCAAATGCTGTTACTTATGCAAATCGAGCAATGGCTTATCTTAAGATCAAAAGGTTAGTAGTCCTATGTCTTTTTACATATTTTTATTCATTCATGATTGTCACGCTTGAGTGTCCGCTTGGCTTCCATAACCTGATCACCTCTAAACATTTTTTCCTTTGTAAACGTGTCTTTACATTAGATATCGAGAAGCGGAGGTAGACTGCACAGAAGCCTTAAATCTGGATGATCGTTACATAAAAGCATACTCACGCCGAGCAACAGCCAGAAAAGAACTCGGCATGATTAAAGAAGCCAAGGAAGGTATCTCATATATTCTTTCATTCCGTTATCTTATGATACATGCAGTTTCTTTATTACATATTGCTGCATATGTAAGGTGATCAAAATTAATCGCAGATGCTGAGTTTGCTTTAAGATTGGAGCCTGAGAGCCAGGAAATTAAGAAGCAATATGCCGACATCAAATCTTTGCTCGAGAAAGTAATATTTTCATATGCTTCTTTGCCGCATCTGTGCCAGATTAATTTAATATGCTACACAAATAGTTAACTTTTTGAATTTTGGGCAGGAAATCATTGAGAAAGCCACTGGAGCAATGCAAAGCACTGCACAAGAATTACTCAAAACATCAGGTTTAGATAAGAGAATACAAAAGCCAAATACAGAGACTTTGAAGCCGGTGACCCTAGGGGCCAAAACGAACAGGGATATGGTTCGGTCTGTTCCAGGTAGCAAGGAAAGTTCGGGAAAGAAGCTCATTGAAAATATACAACCTGAGGTATATTCCAAAGTTTACTTTGTTTGATATATCTCAAGTTCAAAAATGCACATCTAAAAGGTCGTGTAGAATAAGTTTTACTAGTAAAGTTTGTCTGATTTTATTATCATATGGAAAATTTATCTTTAATTAGGCCCAGATGGAATTTTCCAGAGGTTCTCTCATGGTACTTGTCATGCAAATTTTTATATTTGTGGCATCTTCAGGAGAAACGCAAAGAAGGTCCCAAGAAAATTCCAGCTATCACGGAAAATCTAGACAGCAAGAAAGTGACGCCTAGAGTCCAAAGTTATGAAAAGGAGGCGAAGTCTTCTGACAGAAATGGTACTCAGCCTCCTGGACAGGTATGTGTTGGTGATCTAAGTGTGGTTATGAAAAGGTTGATGTGGTACAACACAATCCACTCTGATGCTACAAAACTTGTCTTCATTCTAATTTTACAGGGAAACCAGGTTTCTAAAAAGCTGGAACTAAAGCCATCAGTACAAGAGCTTGCTGCCCATGCAGCGTCACTTGCGATGTCTGAAGCTTCTAAAAACATTAAAGCACCAAAATCTGCTTACGAATTTGAGAACTCTTGGCGGAGTTTTTCTGGCGACCTTGCGCTACAAACCCAATTGTTGAAGGTTTGAAATACCACCTGCAAAAACTTATTTATTCAATCCCCAAATAACAGTGCCACTCATCAGCTTTGTAAATGTATTAGGTCATGTCGCCGAGCACTTTACCTCAGATTTTCAAGAACGCCTTGACTTCTCCGGTACTGGTTGACATAATAAAATGTGTAGCCTCATTCTTCACGTGAGTAAACCAACCATTTACATGCTGGTTTCACCAAAAACTCTTGTAATAATTGGTGCTTATGGTTTCTTGCATGTTGCAGTGAAGACATGGATTTGGCTGTTAAATACATTGAGAACCTAACAAAGGTTCCTAGATTCAACATGCTCGTCATGTGCCTTACCTCAACCGAGAAAAACGGTACTCCCTTTATCTACTTCATGTCATGTCAACGATCTTTAATATGATTATAGCATATACATGTTGTGTTACATCAGAATGTCGTTGTGATAATTGATTTCTTTTCGGAACAGAGCTTCTGAAGCTATGGGAAGATGTTTTCTGCAGTAAAGCAACTCCAATGGAGTATGCAGAGCTCTTAGACAAACTGAGGTCAAGATACTGCCTCAAACAGTAACTTAGGTGATGGCTCTTTTTAGCAGCGTACATGGTGAAGATTTTGCACACCCAGTAGGCCAGTAAGCATTTCTCAATGATCATGAAACAGTTTTTTGTTTGCAGTCCAGAAAGATACCGGTTCTGGTTTTGTTCATATATTTACCGGAAAAATGTAGAATATAAAAACCAGGATATATATTGCGCGTGCATGCTCGGGTTTTTTGTTTTGGTTTACCTGAAAACTGTCAACTAATATAACTAAGGAAAAGCTATCGTCAGTTTTCATTTCATCTAATGTGTATTGTTGCTGTGTTGCATATTAGGAGAGTTCTATTTATAGGTTTTAGAATCAGAATCCAATTTTTGCTTCTGCGATGATTAGAACTTAGAATAGAAACAATGGCTCTTCTATTTTCATAGAAGACATGAGAATTTAAGAATCATGTTCTTAAGAATCGGATCTTCCTACTTTAGGATATAATCTCACAAAAGTCTGCTCTTAGATCAGAACCAGAAGACCAATCGTATCGTTATCGTAATGGGATCTTTATTATGTTTATCTTTGTTTTATTACCACAAGAATAATCGGTTCTGTCTCATAGAATCTGCTTGACCACCCCTTGCAAATTGCAATAGACATTGGAGAATCCAACCAAAAAGAAGTGGTCATTGTCAATTTCAAATCAGATGCTAGGAAACAGAACAAAGAAGACAAAGACAAGAACAGGACTGTAGCAAAAACAGCCAACACTTTCGTAATTAAAAAAAGACATCATAGATAGATCAACAACACTGCAATCAAACAGCAATTTTCTAAGTAAGTTGTTCTTCATTAGCGCCTGCGAACTCCTCGATAATGCTCTTCTTCTTGTTCATAATCACGTGGATCGTGGAACAGTTACACCCGAGATCCGAAGCTTGATCTATATGATCATGAACAACACCATTACTATCTCCACCGAGCTTCCTTGAGATTACGATGGAGTTGATAACTTCATCGGTTGGGTGATAAACCGATAAAACTTGGAAACCTTGGAGATCACAAGGCTCGACGATGGGATAGAGAAACGCTCTAGGTCCATGAGCGCTTCTTAACATGAGCAAAGCACCAGGAGACATGTGTTTCTCAAGATGCTCGATCACTTTAACCTTCTCCTTTTTATCCATCCCAACAAGAGCAGCCAAGAACACAACGTCGAAGCCCTCTAAGCTCTCGGTTACATCCATTACATCAACGGTGTGGAAGAACATACGTTGAGAAAGATCAGGATCAGACGAAACCAACCGAGCTGCAACCAAATTCGCTGATGCGTCGATGTCAAAGTTGTGAAAGATCGAGTCTTTGAGATGGAAAGAGGCAAGAACGACAGAAGTAAGAGGGAGAGGACCAGAGCCAATGAAAGCTATAGTCTTTGGAACTGAACCGTTAAGGTTCTGTTCGAGGAGATCGAACTCGAGCTTGCTTAGTTTGAGATAGTTGTTGTAATAAGGAAAAAGATTCAAATGATGAAGTGGGTTGTCTTCAAAAGAAGTTAGGATTGAAGAAAAGTGATGCTCTAAGTAACCTTCAGCTTCACCACAGATTTTGATGAGGTTTGATCTCATCTCTTGGATGTTTTCAGACATTTTGGTGACGTCGATGTTAGGGTTTGGTGGTATGCATGTGGACACGAGCTGCTTGAAGAGAGTGTCGACATCTGTACAAGGCTTTAGCGTCTCGAGCTTCGAGATCTTTTCGTATAGATCACAGATCTTGTTTACGAGTTGGTCGTCTTGGCAATAACCCATGTCGACACTATGAGGTTTACAAGAGAAGAAAATGAAAGGTGAGTCTTTTTTTTTTTTTGGGATTATTCTTAAGTTTCTCAGGTGAAATGAAGTTTTTGGAGAGATGGTTTATTTATTGGCAGATTTGTGGGCTCCATAACATAGAAAATAAATATACTTTCGATTTCTTTTTAACTCCCAGCATGATAACATATTCTATTGTACTAATTTAGACTCAACTTGACGAAAGTACGTTTCATTTCCTTGCATACTATGTACTATTTCTAAAATGTAGTGTTATTAATAAAAAATTGTATGTCATCTTGTCATGAGATAATTTATGCATATATATAACACGCTATTTATAAAATTTATGTTTTATTAGAAAAAAATACTTGAAGTTTGATCTGTATGTCAGATTAATAGCTAAATAAAAGAATAATTAAATTATAAAATAGCATAATGCATAAAAAATTTAAGCTGATCAAAAAATATATTTTTTCAAAACGTCCAAACCTACTAGTATTTAATAAGCCAATGAAATTTCTCTAATTTAAATATAATTCACATGCAAAATGAATTGAAAAATCACTTATCATTTATAACGTTTTGTCATTCCTACCAAGATTTTGTGAATGGTATGTACCCGACTGAATCATGGTTTGAAGACATAAAAAAAATAGCCACATACCATTCAAGCTCATAATATCAAATGTGAAATGTTTAATCATGAGAATAAAATTATATAATTTTACCTCCACCTATTAAAACAACTTACCTGATTTAAAAATATATAATTATTTTTCTAAAATACTCTACACCATAGTATCTTGAGTATTCTCCTAAACGAATCATACTCTTAATCAATTAGTCATTTTATTTAAAAGTACTCTAGGCCAACAATTCATGAAAATTTGGGCAAGTGAACCTTTTTTCCTATTTTTTATTTTTTTTTGTTGGCCAAATATTCCATTAGATAGAAAGTAAGGTACATATGTTACAAGCTCGTTATTACATATAGACACATGATTAGAGAATCTAATAAACGACAAGAGGAGAATTATTGATTCTAACATTGCGAGCTAGCGTATCTGCTAGTTGGTTAACTTTCTTATTGATAAACTTGAATCTATAAGAGTCATGAGCCAACGTGATAATATCTTGCAAACATCCCTGAATCTCCTGAGGTCCCATTACATGAAGCTGTTGTTGTGTATTCTTCTCCAAATCACCATATAGGGAGAGAGAGAGTCTCCACAAAGTGTCACATTTTGATAATTGAGACGCTTCATTTGGAGTAAAGCTTCTACCTTTAATACTGAATTAGTGGCCTCCATTGATGCTCTACCCTTAAGGATATATCGTCTAAGTGAATCATGTAGTGTCCAGCCTATTCCAATCTTGTTGTCATGGTTGAGCCAAGAGGCATTTGTACACCAACATCGGATAGAGAATATGGAAAGCAAAGAATGATTTGCTTTTCAATAATAAACGCTGGTCAATCCCTGACATCATTCATTAAGCTCTTGTGGACAGAAGCTAATAACAATTATAATCCTTCTAAGCTACAACTACATTAAAGAAGCCTCTCTCATTTAGCCTAAATATATAAAGACATATGACAATACAGAAATACTTTTTGATACCTCTAATTTATAGTTATATGGTTAGATATAAAATTGTATATATTAATTATCTTGTACACAAGGACTTTTCCAATAATATTCTGCGGTTCCCAAGAATTGTAGGTAGGAACGATAAGAGAATTGTAGCTTTATGCATTATAGAAGATTTTAGTGGCTACATAATTGACCATACATATTATCACTATTCTTCGTATTTGCATAGTCATTTTTTTTTGTCACGAACTACTAGTTAGAATGATACTTATGGACAAACATGCATAACTATATCTACTTGCATTTGAATGCGTCAAAGTTGATGTGTCATTTGCTATCGAATATATATGGAACTTGTCATGATACTTTAATTTTGGAGATAATTAGCTGAGAAGTAAAGATCTGGACTTAAATTAGTTTTTGATAAAATTTTGTCGGGGCTTAAGACAATTGCAACATTAGCCCATTATCTTTCCGTTTTTACCCTCACGCGTTAAAAGAAATGCAACGGTATTTGTATTTCTTCCGAGACGAATATGCGTGTATATGTATATTTGTCAAGTATCTGTTGTTCTATTATAGATATCTACATATCTATTTAGATCCACATCTCTAATTTATAAATCTGTATTTTAATATGCATCTTTTTTTGTAGACATCTATTTATTCTTTTTTATTTTCACTTGATGTTGATATATAACTTACTATTCAATTTTTTTATTGTTCAAAAGTATGACTGATCTGGAGCTGCTTTCCCGATTGTTCGCTAATAGAGAGGAACCTGCTGGCGATAGGGTGAATATGTACTTTAAGTTTAATACGATCAAGGCTGTGCTGAAAGGTCTTATGCCTGAAGAGATTGAAACCATTAGGCCTTGCTTCGGGAAACTTCTCGATGTCTACTCCAAACCTATCTTCTCTAGCAAATTGGCTCACTTTCGGTTAACCCGCCAGCTTAATGTTGTCAAGCGACAAAATTCAAAAGTTTTTCCATGTACTTGTTTTCATTCCATTGCTTTCACGATTGTATAGTATCTAGTTTTTTTTTTGTGTGTTTTTCTCGCTTCCCTCACTAAATTTTGTCTCCATATCCACAAATCTATTTAGATCCGCAATTTTGTAATTATCCATGAGTTTAGGTATTCAACTTCTCCTGTAGTCTATATTTATTCATGTATATTTTTGTCAAGCATCTATTGTTTGTTTTAGATATCCACAGATCTACTTAGATCTGTATCTATTCATGTATATTTGCTAAGTATATGTTGTTCTATTGTAGATATCTACATATCAGCTTAGATAGTCTGCAGGTTTGCATTAAATAGAAGTCACCTCCTTCCTTCTGTCACTGCGTAACCGTCACGTCAAAAACAGAGACGTCGTTTCATTCTTTTTTGGCCAAAAGTCAAACATGTTATCCCACTCGCATGAATACGTAAACGTCTCATTTTTTCGTTATTATTGAGAAACTGAAGGGCATAAGTGAAGTTCTTTTTACGTTCCTTGGAGACAGAGCAGTCAATTACCTCTAAGCTAATTTGCCTCTCTATTTTTACCTGTGAACTAACTCACCCTTAATTTTGTACATTTCCTTGTAACAGATTGATGTTTGAAGTTTTATATATCTTTGTTAAATGAGTTTTCATTCGATATAAGTTAATTAAGATTTGACCTGTGGTATACAGAGAGATAATTTTTTTTTCAAACAATTTTAGTTAAATTAATTTGATCAGACATGTTTAATATTTCTAAAATTAGTGATATTAACGAAATAAAAAAATAAAAAAATTAATCCGTGAAAACTAAATTAATTTTTTATATACCGTTAATGAGACTAATTTTTTGTTCTCTAACTCAATGGCATTTGTTGTAATGTTTGACTAAAACAAAGGTTTCCCGATATCTATGTTTGAAAACAATATTAGAAGATTTTATTTTATTTTTTGTGTGTTTTTAATTTGTAAAATTAACTTTACTTCATTTAACCCAAATTAAGTTTTACTTTGGTGTAGTTTGGTTTGGCGCTCATAATGAGAGGTGACCAAGTTGAGGTACTATGCGACAGGATGTTGCCATCTTCACTGTTGATGCACATTCGACGGATCCAATTTAAAGATTTCCCATAACTTTCGTATATTTTACAAAATAATCATTTTTTATTATGTCAACTACTAAGTAATCATTATAAAATATGTTATAGTCCTGTAAAGTTCTGCCAACTATATGTATGTATACACTTTAGAAAATGGTCCAATACTTTGACAGAGAAAAATGGTTTGATATTCATGACTTAATATTTATAGTCTTAAGATTTCAGAATCTAAAAGAAAAAATGTTTTATTTTTACTGTTTGCTATTTAATTTCTATTTTTTTAAAAAAAAGTTATGGATTTAGGCCCAAACGTCATTCGAACCTACGACTTTAGGCTTTGTTTCAATGTTTTTACCGATTGAGCTATTGACGACACTTGTTAACTGTTTATTATTTCAGAATCGATATTTATTTTTTTTTATAAAAATTAATGTTTTCATCAAGATTTTCATGGACTAGATTCAGATGGTGACAGTCTTGAACCTTGAAAAATTAAAATATAGAAATTAAAAGAAATTGGATGGCCTTAGGGAAAATGTTGTATATATTTACATAATTATTTACCATTCAATCATGAGTAGGCATAAATATATGAGAATTTATAGAAACTAACCTTGGATTCAAAAAGAATTCACAAACTAACCACGAGCTACAGTACCCTTTCTCTAACATGTCGGAACAGCTGTGTAATTACGTATATGTCCTTTGTAACACGCTTTTTTTTCGAATTACATGTGATAGCATAATATATCTTTTTTTATCATGTATTTTTCTCGTACTACATGTTATTTATAAAGAACACATAGTATTTCTCGGAAAAAAACATTATATTCAGTGTAATATCTGTCTTTATCATGTTATTTTGTAATAATACACGTGTTTTATTAAGATCACATGTGAATATCTGTCTTTATCATGTTATTTTAAAGTAATACACATGTTTTATTAAGATTACATGTGAATATCTGTCTTTATCATGTTATTTTGTAATAAAACACGTGTTTTATTAAGATCACATGTGATTTCTTTTTTAAAAAGATGATTATTTTTTAGTAATACACGATTTGTTTTAAGATTACATGTGATTTCTTTTTAAAAAGTTACTATTCAGATTAAATTTTCCATGTCAATGTTTTTTCTTAAAAATTCACTATGTTTTTTAAAATATCATGTCTTTTAGTTAAATATAACATGCGAAATTTAAATGTTACATGCTATTTTGAAAAATCTCACGAAACTGTCTCACATATCGTTGATCTTGCAACAAACGAAGGATAGTTTTGGTATTTCACATCATCCGACAAGGTGGGTCCATGGCTATTTTCCAACAAAAAACGTTTTCTCTGCTATTTTGTTAATTTGAGTG